TCCTGTTGAGATTTCAGTCCATTTGCATGATGGATTGGTTGTGCAAGCTAATTTATCTTTGGTAGCATCAGCTCATGCTGTAAAATTCTTGCATGTTCCATTAACCTTATCAGTTCCTTTAGGAGTGAAAGTACAAATAGTTAATTTATTGTTTTCTAAGCCACCTCTATTAAAAGATGTAATCGTCTTATATGTTAAGCAAGCAGCCTTTGCGATGCAACATGTTCCATTAGATACACAATCCTTTCCAGAAATAATACCCATACAATTAGCATTTGATGTTCCCCCAGTGATATCTTCACATTACTTTAATCTACAAGCCTTTGTTTCTGTTGTGGCTCCAACTGGTAAAGCAAAAATGCATTCTGTATCAGTTCCTGTGAAACATCCAGCTTTTACATAGCTTTTAGCATGATCCTCTTATCACAGAAATAAGTTTACATCAGTCATTTGTACCCTTTTACTCATCTCCGTATTTTTTTAGCTTACAAGCATTAGCGATGACATTCCAATAACAGATCACATCAGTTTCAAATCTATTACAAGCTGTTTGTGCCTTGTAGGTAGCACAAGTTGATTTGGCAATACAAGAAGTTCAATCAGTAATACATATTGATCCATATAAGAGATATTCATCATTTGTAGCAGCAACAGCGTCTGTGCATTATCGGAACTTTTAACATTTTCCAGTTGGTAACCATCCACAACCTCCATAGTTCCTACAGCAGAAGAAGTCCTTTATTGTTATGCCAGAACAATTAGTAATTGGAATACATGAATCTCAATTGGCTGTGCATAATGATGAGAATGCTTAAAATTCTGGATGTGTTTTTGGATAGCATCCTCGCATCTGTCATGATCATATCATGATCCATTAACGCAAAGGAATATTCTATAATTGGATTTAATACAGAATTATTTATTAGAAAATTCAGTACATGAAGCTCCAGCAACACAACTTGATCCATTTTACTTTCATTCACAAGGAGGAGTTACATTCACATCAGTTAAACCATTCTTGTCACCGCAAATCCTAGCTCTGCATTTAATTTTTGCGGCATCCAAACAACATCTAGCTACTACATCTTTAGAAGTTGAGCAGGCTAAACAGACAAATTGAGCCTTGAAAGATGCACATTTTGAAATAATTAAACAACCATCTACTGATATAGTGAAATTATCAGAAAAGCTTTAATGGTTTCTGATTAATCTTTACATTCTTTAGTTCTGCATATTGAATTAGATTCTTACCAAGCACGGAACTTACTATTAACTTTAGAATTGATACATTATAGTAACTAGTATTGTTATAAGTGGCACATATTGTAATAGAAGCTATACATTAATTTGCCCATGTGTATTCTTCTCTTAATTTACAAGTGGGTTGTGATGTCAAATTGCTTCAGGATTTAGTAGCTGTGCATCCACAACCAGTATGAATCCTTATGATATCTCTAATAACCAGCATTAGCTGCAAGTGTATTTGGTGCTTCTGTGCATACTCTCTTTGCACATGTTCCTTTGAATATTCCAACTGTGGTAGATTTGCATGGATCATCTTTAGCCAAAAACTTTGGGCATGTTTCTTCAGTTCCATTGAATGTACTACAATTCTTTCAATAATCTATACAACCAGTTCCATCAAAAATACAGAAGGGATTATATGTACTTTTCGATGGTGGCATAACATTACTACATTCCTTATTATTTTTACCAGATACATCACAGCATTTCTTCTTTGCACAAGTAGCTGTAGTTAAAGCAGCTCAAGTGTTCTTACATAATCCTTTCCTTGACCTTCCTATGAATTTAGCACAAGTGGCTTGATCTCCTTTAAATGTATCGCATGATGATCTTGCATCAGCGCATCCAGTTCCCTTTATAATACAACCTTTCTAATAAGTACAACTTTCAGCATCTGATGTGGCTGAAGTGTTATCAGCACAAATTCTTACTTTACATTTCCAGTGGCAGTATTACCAGAATCGCAAGAATAATATTCATATATTCTTATTAGCATTTAGTCCAGTGTTTTTTTCGATTATTTACATTATTATTTAGTTCTCTGTATATCAAGGTTCTGTATTTGGAATATATCTTGTTCCACATGTGACACATTCAACTAATAATAATCAAGTTATTTGTATATTTATATAAAAACAAATATATTAAATTAATTCAATTTTTTCCCCTTTTTTTCTACCTGTGTATTTGAAAGATAATAAAAATAAACGTTAAATTAATAATGATTAATTTACTCTAATAATTTTACCAATACTCTTTTTGTTTTAAATTGAATCCTGATATATTTATTGTTAGTTTTGATACTTAATTGATAAATTATAAACTTATATTATTTGTTACATTGAATAATGGCTTGAGTTATATTTTTCAATTTTAGTATGATTTTGTATTGGAATTCTTTAAATATAGTCTAACTCTCTTTTAAAATGTAATTCGCTGATATCATAAATAATTAAAAATAAGTCTTCATCAATCTTCTATTGAAATATCACAATTTGCGAGTCTATATATACAAGTTCCGTTTAATAATTATAGGTTTCAATTCTTAGAAGAGCAATTACAGTTTAATCTATATAATGAGTTTATTTAAATCTTAAAATCTTAATTACACAAAATGAGAGAGACTATCCGCATTATAAGTATTACATGTTGAAGTTTTAATTTTATAATTGATATATTGAAATTATCTTGATTATTAACAGCGTGCTTTTAAAATCGAAGTCATCAATTTGATTATAATTGCCAAAAGCTTATTTAAATAGAATAGTTTGATTTGGAATATTATCAAGGATATTAATTTGAATTAAAAAAAACTCTAGTTCTTAATGCTCATTAATTTATGCAATCATATAAGTTGTTTCATCCAATTAATAACAATCAAGAATTTATTACTGAATTACTTTTTCTATTTCATTTAATCTAATCAAAGCATTGTTATTTTTATATAGAATTAGATTTTATTTACCCTTATTTGAAAAAATCATTAAATTTAAAAAGTAATAGGATTTAACATAAGTATGAACTAAAAGAATATTAAATAAAATTACAATCACCATAATGAAACTCAAAAGTCTATTCTAATTTCTCGATTTTGGTTAGTTTAGCATTTAAAGTTTCAGTAAACTTGAGATATAATTCAAAATACGTTACAGTAAATGTAACCTCGGAAAAGCATATCAAAATATATTTAGACTATTCTTTATCATAAATTGCTGATTAAACATTTTAAATGAATTTTTATGTGTAAATATTTTGGCCCTTTGTAAAAAAATTGATCATAAATCTTTCTTTACTAATCTAGCAGACATCATTATTATAAAAAATGCACTCTATTCTATTCCATGTATAACTTACTGGATTAAATTCAATAAAGCTATTATTATGGATCAACTCAATTTTATCTATTCTACCGTAAATGTTGCTAAGATTCAAGTATCCATTTTAATTGATCAATTAGACTTAATTATTGATTATTGCTAAGGTTTAAATAGTATTTAGATGAAGTATTTTTAAAGGCATGTATATATATTAATTAAGACTTTTAATTAAAGATACGAATTTGACATTTAAATTTTTGATTGTGTAAAAATCTATCTTATTTTTTATTTAATCAAAACAATTTAGCTTAAAATTAATTTCCTAGATCTTATTAAATCTAATTTTCCCATCCTTAATATAAATGATAATGTCTTAATTTTCTATAAAATTATACACTATTTACTCTTTATGAAATTTTATAATCTTTATTAGTGATTTTTTTCCTTAATTTTTAATATTATAGATTAGTAAGCAATTCTCATTTGAATCATCTAAGACAACTATCATAAAATATCGAGATTAAAGTTTATAATTTAATGGCTGTATAGGTTTATATTAGTAGAATGGAAGATTATATAAATGAACAATTTCCTATACATCAATAATATAAAGGCTTATTTTAATGCCTTATTCCTCTTGAATAATAGGTAGAAAGTATGTGTTGATTAGCTAATCCCAAATTTGTGTAATAATTACATCAATTATTCTGGATTCAAATTTTAATTGATATGTAATTTTATTTTTCGGTTTATAAAAGATTTCTTGATCCTAAATTATTAAACTATTAGTATAAAATGAATTTATTCTACAACCTTTGTGCACTTTGAAATAATGAAAAGTTTTCTAATTAAGGGATTTAGATATATCTATTTCATACAATATACAAGACTTAAAGAGTATCCAGATTTAGTTATTATAAATACTTGCAATAATAATCTCATCTGTATAATAAGAGACCCAATTAATTATCTGAAAGTTCTAAAAGCTATAAATGTATATAAAGTAATCATAAACTATAATTATTGACTACTAAAAGGCATCCACAAGAGATAAAATATAGTTCTATAAAATTATTATCTTGAATTCTTTAATTAAGTTTTAATCTAAAAACATTTTTATTAATATATAAGTTTAGAATTCCTAAATGATGATATTTTAATTTAATTCTAATTTCAAATACCACACATTCTTTATGGATTCATCTTTAACAGTAGCTTCATGAAAACCTTCAAAGCCTTCATCAAATTCTATTTCCTACCCATTTTATTCAATTGAGAATAATGTCAAAGGGAGTGTTTCCTATATATAGTTTAGACTAATATTTATTTAAATATCAAAATTTTATTGGATAATTGGAGTGATTTGAGGTGTTATTTTTAATTATAGATTATGGATATCGAAAGGCTCAACCGTCATAATTTCTGATGTTTAACTCAAAATTTTATAAATGCCTATCTTTTTTGATTTCATTTCTTTTAAATAAACATTTCCATTTTGTAATTTAAAAATTGAAAGTTTGCCATTGCTCTCAACCGACAAAAAGTAAGGCATATCAGAAATTTGAAAAAATTTGAAAAATTCTTAGTGTAAATAAAAATGCAATTATTCATTCACCTAGACTACTATACTTGCTGACACTAAGTTTTACTTTGTCATCGAAATGATGTAAAAAAATATAATTGTTAATATACGATTATTTATAACCTTGAGTACTAATAATGAATTTGCTTTTAAACTTTAGAGTACCTAAGATAAGTTTAAAATTACCTGTATCTTTATTAATGAGTGTAAAATACAGACCTTTACAACAGTTAAGGAGTTCATATATTTCTAAATGGTTTCCTTCTGCCCTATACATTGTGGATAATATCTTCACTTAAACTGAATAATAAAACAATTATTTTTCAAATGCTATATAAAATTCATTAATTTAACAGGTTTCTAATTAGATTAATTTTTAAGGTTGATCATTTTAAACTTCTACCAATAAGGTCATTAATTCAGGAAAATTATTAAATATTGAGTTTATAGTTTTCTAAATCTATTTCTATTTTATATACATAGATATCTAAACAATTTTTTTCATAAATAATTAGTACCTAATCTATTTTTGAAAAACCAATCTCACATTTAAACTCATACGTAAGCTATTTTTAATCCAAGTATTTTTAATTTGTTAAGTGTAAAAGTTTATATGTAATTTCCCTTGTATTTGCAAACAGCAAGAAGATGATCGTCTTTTAGAAAGTAAAATTTTTCACAATTTTCTTCAGGTAGTTAAATTGAAAAATCTGATATTTTTGCTATTAATTTATCATTTATTAGAAAGTCATTAAATGATAATAAAGCTTTAAGCTTCAATTTATCATTTACTAATAATAGAGTTTCATTGATATTTCTTTATAAAAAGTGATAATTTTAATAAAGATTAGAGTAAGTATCAAATTCTTAAACCTTGTGTAGTAATTGAAAATTTAGATTTAAAAAATTTTATTCATCATTTTCATTATTTATAGCCATCTGATAAAAAAGACTGCCCAACTTTATTTTTTCCTAATCTAAGAATTGTAATTATTGAATCTAGAAAGCAGGTATCACAAGTCTCAAGAAAATTATATTCATAAACATTTTATAAAAATCTTTAATATTAATTTCAATAAAAATCATTAAAATATGTTAATTAATAAATTGATACAATATAGTTCATATAATAATAGAAAACTTTGATTTCGGAAATTAATTATTTAGATATGTTAAGGAATATAATCTCAATGAGGCAGAATAGTACTTTTACTGCAAATAAAAATCTAAATAACACAATTAATGCTATGTGATAAAGGTGTGCTTAGCCACTCTTAATTTACTCTATTTGAAAAACAAACAATTAAATTATCAAATTTAAAATATGTTACGAATGTTGTAATTTATTCTCTATCTCACATAATATAGTATATATTATTTTATTTGAATCAAAGTTAACTTCATAATTTATCACAATTTTCCATTGTATTTTTTAGATGTTATTATTATCGAAAAGTAAATTTTGATTCAAATGAAGAAGTGAATGATTTCATATAGATCAGTTTGATTGATTGATTGATTTGAGTAATTTAAGTTAAATGGCCAAATTAAGATGGGAGGATAAATATAAATTTGTCCAAATGGATACATTATAACAAAATTTCATATTAATTTATCTTGAATAACTTAGAATTTTTAATATTATAATTTTTACAATCATAAGATAGCTTATATGAATATGATTAATAGATAACATAGCCAAATGGCCTATGACTTTTGAGGTCTACAAGCCTAATCAATATCAATTCGAGTGAAAAAAGTAAACAGTATATAACGCATTTTATTTTAAAATTTATCAAAAAAGAAGAAACAAGTTAGTATATCAAACCTTTTATTTAAAAGTTCTCAATGTTAATGATGTTCCTTTTTTAATAAAGCTACAAGAAAATATCGAATGGCATATAATTTTTGTTAATCAATCATCTTGAAATTCAATATAAAGTAATTGAAGATTCGACCTTCTAAGAATCGTATCTATTAAATTGATTAATTAATTATTTACTTTTTAAAATAGTACTTCTAATTAAAAATCTAATTTGTAACAATTGCTTTGTTAAAAATTATTGAATGATATATAGTTATAAAATTAAGCCTTGCTTAAAATTGTATTCATAATTATTTTATTCTAGTAATTTTAAGAATTTAAACCTACTTATTATTATCCAAATTCCTTTACTTGGATTATTTAATTGACTATCTTACGTTTAGAACAATCAACAAATATTAATGATTTTTATTCTTATCATTGCTAAGATATAACTATAAATTAGTGAGATGACTTATTGATAAAAGGTTGAAAAAAAATTAACTTTTTTCAATTTTATGGGTTTGGGGTTGGGGTTGGGGTTGGGTTTGGGTTTGGGGTTGGGTTTGGGTTTGGGTTTGGGTTTGCT